GAGGAACGCTGTGTGAACGGCTCTGGAGCATCCAGCTGGGTTCGTTCTCTAACCCCAGCTGGGTCGAGTAGCACGACGTTGATGAGCACAACAGGGTCAAGCACCACTGGCTCGGGCACTACGGACTCGAGCAGCACGACGTTGACGAGCACAACAGGGTCCAGCACAAGTGGATCTCGCATTGTGGAGTCGAGCAGCACGGCGTTGACGAGCACGACAGGGTCAAGCATCATGGGCTTGAACACTACGGAGCCGAGCACGAGCAGCACGACGGTGACATCTGCGGGAGGGGCTGGTAGCTACGCGGCCAGACTCTGGGCCAAACGCACCCTGGAGACACCGCCGCAAGGCCACCGCACGGGCAGTGCGCTGCCGTGGCGTCTGGGGCCCAGTCGGGCCGATCCAGCTGCGGCCCGCTTGCCCCAGACGCGCCAGACTCGCTCCTTCCACCGACGGGGCCGTGTACCGACGCCCTCCTGCACGCTGCGTTCCTGTTCACTCGGGGGTGCTGCGAGTGGTCGCTCAGAGGCCTCCTTCTCGCCATGAACACAGATGTCTGGCTCCCAGCCTGTGCGGGCTGCATGCTGCACGGCGCCCTCGGCAGCCAGGCTCCCGCAATGCAAATCAGCGCGCTTGTCTCTGGAAACCCTGTGCCGTGGATGGCCTTGCGGGGGGCGATGCGCGGAAGGTGGCGCGCAATCGTCGGCCTCGCCGGCTTGGGGGCCATAGCCAGAGACGTACACATTCGCCCTTGGATGTGCCGAGTGTGCAGCGCAAGCGTGGTCGCGGCGGGAAGCGGGAATCCCGGCAGCCCACTCGCCGGCCTGCTGCTCGTGGCCGCGTGCCAATGGCCAGCCTTCCTCGGCGACGAAGCTGGAGGGGGGCCGCCGCCGCCGCCGCCGGACCTGCACCCGCGATCCAGTCCGCCATTTGGACGGGACGCCCTGGTCACCAAGTGGGCCGTGGACGCCTTGCGCTCGAGGCGGGCTTGCCTCTGCTTGGCGGCTGGCTGTGGGGATCGCACCGAGAAGGGCGATCTGCGTTCAACCCCGACCAGGCGAACAAGTTGTGCTATCACCCACGCTGCGTCGAGGGCGGGCTTGGATCCTTCGACCAACTTGGGGACGCTGGCCTTGCCAAAACACCATTTTCGGGACTCCAACGTCACGGATCAACGAAAGTGTTGCATCTTGATGATGTTGCATCGTGCCAAAACACCATTCGTGGGACTTCAACACCGTGAATCAACGTTAAGTGTTGCACCCTCACAATCTTGAGCCACTCCAGAACACCATGTTTGGCACGCTGACCATGGAAATCCACAGGTTTTGTAATTTTTGAAACGAATGTACGCGGTGCTGAAGCGACAGCCACATGTTGAAAACAAACCGCCCTCAATCCGTGAAGTTCTTGCAAATTGTCAAGACGAGTGTGCGCGGCGCTAAGGCGAGAGCCACAATCTGAAAACGAACCGCCCTCAATCCGTGAAGCTCTAGCAACACGAGCGCGGCGCTTGAGGCGACAGCCACATTTTGAAAGCCGCCCGCCCTCAATCCGTGACACTTTTGCAAATGTTGAAAAGGAATGTGCGCGGCGCTGAAGCGAGAGCCACATTTTGGAAGTAACCCGCCCTCCATTAGTGAAACTGCTGCCACACTTTAAAACTTCAGGGTCATATGCGGTGAGGAGGTCTCAGGCGAAACGCCCGGCCCGCCCTTTCGACTGGCCTCGGGGTGCGACAGGTAACATTAATTTATACGGAATGGAGGAGGAGGAAGAGGAAGAGGAGGAGGAAGAGGAGGAGGAAGAGGAGCAAAGGAAACATGGGGAGGCGGGCCGGTGCGACCAGACTATGGCCGATGCGGCGTGGCCTTTGTCGTTGTTGCTGTAGATGTAGCGCTCAGAAGGTACGAGCTTGCCGAAGGGCCCATGGGGCAAGGTATCGTAGACGTTGGAACGCCCATATGGCACGAGCTTGCCTCGCCGCTGTTATCCTTGTTGCGGCCGTCATCAGATGTACATCCCCATCCACACGTTTCGCATCCGTCATCGGATGAGCCAGAGTTCTCGTGCAGCCGCAGCCCCATCGCCAAGGTACCAGATGTGCGCGTCTACTATGTACTCAAAGCTTGTTGGAGCCAATGGGAGGGCCAAAGTCGATGCAGCGCCTGTCACCAAAGCGCCCCAAGACCCTGCCAACCCTGTCATCCATGGCAGCAGTCATGGGCGAGCGGGCCTGCACAACAGTGTTTTTAGGCGTCCTTAACGTGATCAGCTGCTCGTCGGCGTCCTCTTTGGTGAAGTCGCTGCCCTTGGAGGCGAGGTTGTCGAGGACTTTGCCGCCAAAGCGCTGCAGGATGACCTCGATCCGCGGATTGATGTCCCCCCCAGCGTCGGCGCGGCCCAAGTCGTCCTCGATGCTGTGGTCGGCGAGGCTCTGCAGGAAGTCATCGCTCCTATCGTTGGCATCCTTCACGGAGTCCGTGCGGCTCGGCTGAGTTTTCGCGGCCCTGCGTTGTCGCCGCGAGAGCGCTGGGCGCGCGCGATTGGGATCTTGACGGGGGCAGCGGGGCACATCACGCACCTCAGGCGGATGCGAGGGAACAGCAGCAGCAGGAGGGGGGGAAGCAGAAGATGAGGTCGTGGCCATCTGCTTGACCATGTCCCCGTACATCTCTCCCATGTTGTCGGTGTAGGCCTTCACTTGCTCCTGCAATTTCTCGATAAGCGCGTCGTGCATGGACTGGACGATGTTGGAAGTGTACTTGTTCTGGTCCGCCCTCGCTTGGAGAAACTTCTCGTCCAATACTTTGTCATGGGCAGCCAGCTGTTCTGGGAGTCGTTTCGCCACGCTTTTCTCCACCTCGTTTCTCATTGACCTGGCCAGGGAGGTGACCTTGGCCTCGCATTGCTTGGTCCTCAGCTGGATGTCTTCCCCTCGACCGAGCCATCCTCGTGGGGGGGGGCGGAGGCTGAATCTCCTGCACACCCCCCGCGCCAACCCTCAGCGGGCAGCGCGCCGTGCGGGTACACGTTGCCCTGCAGCCTGCTCCTGTGGGTCTGCATGTTGTTGTTGTTGGGGTTGACGGCCAGACCTATGGGCCCCCAAACCGCCACCTCTGGTACAATAAGCCGCAGGGCGGAAGCAATAGACAAAGACCGAGCGCCGATCGAGACCACAAGGAGGATGTGGCAGGGCGGTGAAAGAAAACAAAGCCATATGCAGGCGAGGGATGGAGGTTGTACTAATCCGGTGCACAGGGGTCAAGGCCCTCACCCTCTGGGCAATCATAATTCTAGCGGATGTAAAAATCAAACAACATGGACCCCCAAGAAAGGCGGCCGGCCTGAACGGTCATAATTTCGGCATGTCAGGCGTGGCACGTAGGCTGGCCCAGCCTCAGCACGTAGGCTTCGGCCCTGTGGACACAATGACCAAACAGACCTGGAATAACATCCGTGGGCACAATCGCCCCCAAGGTCTCATGGATAGACGCGTGCAGATTAACGCAACTCAGAGCCCACTGAAGCCAAGAACAACAAACCCGATAAAAGAACGCCCCCGCCCAGGAGGGGGGAGTGAACCGTTGCGAGGCAGGCCTGGGGACACCGTGCCACGGGGAGGGCAGGAAAGAGGAGGGAGGAGGAGGACCAGGAGGACGAGGAGGAGGAGGAGGAGGAGGAGGAGGAGGAGGAGGAGGAGGGGCACGGAGGGGAGCCCAGACCCCAGCCACGCTACGGCTAACACCCCCCAGGGAAAGGACTCCATGGAGGGGAATGGGCTCCTAGAGTGTTGTCCTGGATTATCCGGGTAACTCCTACGAGACCCCATGAAGAGTGGCGGCCACCAAGGATCATGAAGCCAGGAAGCGAGACTAGTACAGAGCCCAAGAAGAGGTCGCGCGGTGATCAGGCGCAACAACCTCCTGCCCCCGGAGCCCAAAGAGGGAGGAAGGATCCCAAGGGAATCCCAACGGCCTCCCCCGGAACTCCGGGGTGTTGCACGTTCCCGCCCCGCCAGGAAGGAGCCAGGAAAAAAACAGGAAGAAGGGCAACCCCCGAAGAGGGAATGGGTTTGCCACCCCATGTTGGGCGCGTAAGAAAACAGAATAGAAACCAATGAAAACCCAAAGAAAACCCATGATAGATACAGAGACCGAGTAGGCAGAGAGACCCATTAGAACAAATACGCTCCTAGGGTGTTGTCCGGGATCACGCCCGCGTGGAGGACAACGTGCATCGCGATCCCATGGGTCTGCATGCACGTGCAAACGTCGTGCATGCTCGAATTCCTGGAGAAGCTCGGCAACAGTAGAGTTCTGCGAATCAAGTAAGCTTGCATCTGAGTAAACGACTGAATATATCCACGCGGAACACAAGAAAAAACCGAAGGGCTCAACCCAGTCTGCGCCTTACGAGGAGGAAGCAACTCAGCTAGAAGTAGTCGTCGAGGTTGTCGCCGCTGCTGCCGCCGTCGGCGACAAAAAATCGGTGACTGCACTGTGGGCCGCGTTGTTCAGCGTCCTGAACACCGAGATCACAGCCGAAGGGAGCACGGTACGGGCAGCAACGATCGCCAGACTGGTGCTAGGGAACTCGCTGTTCAGGCTGAAGGGCGGTGATCGCATGTACGGATATTTGGAATGATATGAGCAGGCAACGCCAAAACATGGAAGCGATGCATCCAGACAGACGCAGAAACTGGCATAGCAAGTAGAATTGTGGATCGAATTGCGTAGCGACACTTCAGCAATCCGCAGCTTGCGCAGAAATGGCTACGGAAGGAGGAGGAGGAAAGGAGGAGGAAAGGAGGAGGAAAGGAGGAGGAAAGGAGGAGGAAAGGAGGAGGAAAGGAGGAGGAAAGGAGGAGGAAAGGAGGAGGAAAGGAGGAGGAAAGGAGCAGGAAAGGAGGAGGACAGGAGCTGTTCGGAGGCCATGCCCGAGGGCAACGGTACGGCGAGCGGGCGGGGCGGCGGACGTGTGCGCAACGCGGGCCCGGCTCACATCACGCTCTCCCGTGGGGAAGCCAGGAGTATCGAGAGCGAGCCGCGGCGCGGCCGGTGCGACACGTGCGGCTCCAGCGCGGCGCCGAGCAGCGCCCGCGAGGCCCGCCGTCCAGAGAGAGCGCTGGGGCTGGGCGCGGCGGCCGTGGTCATCCTCTGGGGAGGGCCCACGACTGTGCCCAGGCCCCTCGCGCGGTGAGGCCTCGGGCTGCGGACAGACAGCCACCCTATAGATAGTCCAGGCTGGCCTCCGCAGGCCCCCCGAGTGGCCCCGGGCGGTCTCAACACCCTGGCGCCGCCTTCGGCGGCGCCCCTGGGCCGCTCTGCGCCCGAAGGTTGGGATGTGGAGACCGCCCCGCGCTGCTCAGGTGCCTGTTGAGGCCAGTCGGGTCTACCTCGGGGGGCTGTCTGTGCGCAGCCTGAGGACTTACCACCCTCGCGTCGTGGAAAATACACGACGGACATTTCCGAGCCATGTTCGGCTCCCAGGATCGAGAGACCCCCGGGGGGCCCGTGTCACGAACAAACTGCGGAGTCGGAGGAGAGGGGCTAACACACCTGCACCGATCCTGGCCGGGCTTATCCTGTGCCGAGGGGTCGGTGCACACGCCCTCCTGGCCTGGCCAGGAGGGATGGGACGCCGACCCTCGGCACTGAGAGGCCCGGCCAGGATCGGTGCTGGTGCACAGGCCAGCGCCCCAAGACCTCTGCAGCTGTCGCAGGTTCGTTTTCATTTGGCCCTGCAGCTGCTTCGTGCTGCGCTGCCACTCCGAGCGCAGCACCGCGATGTCGACGCTCTTGGCCTCGCCACGCAGCACCGTGCAGCCCTGGATGAAGTCCTCCAGGGTGAGCTCGCCGTTGCCCTTCACGTCCAGGTAATCGAATATCTGTTTGGAGTCCTTGAGGTTAAGCTCCAAAGACTTGAAAAACGCTTTCATCATCGGGACCCTCAGAATCTGGGAGAACTCCTCCCAGCTCAGCGAGTCCGACTCGTCCTGGTCTGCCTCGTAGAACAAGTTCCGAAGGTGATCGGACCAGCGTTTTTGCTCCAAGATCTCCGACCGCACTCGCTCCTGGTAGTCGTCCTTCGCAACGTGATACACACACTCCACGAAAAGACTCGCAATGATGTTGAGCACCCCAAACATCATCATGAAGACATAGGCCATCAAGAGAACAGTGTACCTTCCAGGCAAAAGCAGCAGCGGCTCCATTAATTGCGCCCAATCCACGCCACCAGATATGCCCTGGTACAGCGATATGCTCGTGAGCGTTACGGAACCATAATTGACAGCCATGCTTTCCAATATGTCAGTGTCGATGCTGCCCACATCGGTGCCAGCCAGATAGTCGATGATGCCCTGAACCATGCAGACCGAAAAAAGGTAGATGGTGCCCAGAATCACGAAGAGCGCCACGCCAAAGTAACTGATCGACTTGATCATACAGCGCGTCACGAGCTGCAGCTTGTGGAACCATTCCAGGCGGCCCAGGTCCAGGAAGATGCGCGGCAATCGCAGGATCCGGAGGAACGTCATGGTGGGGAAGTTCTCCGCCCCTGCCGCGGTGAGCAGCACCTCGACCATCGCCGCGGACAACAGGAAGGCATCCAGGAGGTTCCAGCCCCAGCCCTTCGCGGCGCAGAGGAAGTGCCCGCGGTATATGTAGATGCGCAGGGCGATCTCGCCGATGAACGCGATCGTCAGCGTGGTGTCGACTCCAACCAGCCACGCTGGATGTTCGAGATCTGGCTTGTACGGTAAGGATGCCTCGCTTTGTGGGCGCCCTTGCCAACTCCAATTCACTGTAAGCGCATGCCTGTCAAGCTCGAAGCTCGACAGCGTCTGCGCACGCACGCCGACCCAGACCACGTTTGCCACCAGCAGGAATGAGCACAGGCCCAGGAGCATCTGCGTGGCGCTGGTGCTCAAACGCTGTTGCAGATCCTTCTGCGCTCCGTGATCCTTCCGGTGCGCCCGAGCCTTAGCAGTAGAGGTCTGCTGCCACACCTTGGTGATCTCCGTGTAGTGCGTGTAGTGCCTGCGCATCCGCTCCGAAGCCTCACCGTTGCCCGTGTGCCCGCTTGTCTCAGAGGCTGCCCTGGCCAGAGCACTGCCGTCCGAGGGCGACTCCGGCAGGTGTGGCTGAAACGCCACGGAGGTCTGCTGCAGGGCGTCGTCCGTGCCGGCAGCCACGGACAACCCCGTGCCCTCGGGGTCCTCTGGCGGGCTCCGCGGATGGTCCCTCGGAGGCGGCGCGAGGTGCTCGGCGGTGCCCGCCCTGCCCGCCTCGCTTGGCGGCTCGAGGTGGCCGTCGCGGTCGTCCTTGCGGAGGGACGGCCGCGCAGAGGCGCCCTGCTCGGCGCCGTGGTCCCGGAGCCCGCCCAGCCTGCTCTTCAGGTTGAAGGCCGAGCTGATGCTCTCGACGACCTGCCAGGCGCCGCCGCGCGCGCTTGCGCGGCTCGGGCTGTCCTGCCAGGAACTGCCGTACGCGGCCAGGTCGCCGTCGCCGCAGGAGGCCACGCGCCGGAGCGGGGGCAGCGGCACCTCGAGGTCGTTGGCCGCCTCGACGATGCCCCGCTCCACGGCCGCGCCCATCTGGTCGTCCGTCGGCCACTCTGCCCCTGGGCTGCCCGCGTCGCTCTTGTCGGCCTGGATCGCGTCAACGATGGCGCCGAAGGAGTCGGCCAGTGTCTTCGTCATGCGCTCGATAGGGCCGTTCAGCGCGCTCTCCAGCGCTCGGTCCAGCCTGTCGTGCAGGGACTCTTGCAGCAGGGACTCCACGTCGTCCATTCTGCTGTGCAGCCGCAGCACCAGCTCTCGGACCTGCGACTCGTCCTGCAAGGAAGAGAAGTCTGCACAAACATGGACTTTCGGAGGTCCGCGTGGACTTCCTGGATTGGCGCCGGACCCCCGCTCCCTGGCGCGCGGAGCGCGCCAGGGGGCGGCACCTGAGGCGCCGCCAGGGGGGGGCTCGCGCCGACCCAAGCCGATCCAAGACGTCCGCGCAGGCCTCCGACAGTTTGTGTGCAGTCGGAGGGTGCCATCTGCACATCTACACCACCTTGACTCCAGGTCCCCAGGTCCGCCCTGCTTTGGGCCATTTCGCAAGCAGGGCAGAAATGCCGCCTGTTTTCAGGCTCCTTCGACGCCGATACCCATCCCTGCGTCCGCCATGCCTTTGCGGAAGTAGCCGCCCTACTCTTCTGAGGCGGAAATCTCCGCCCTACTGTTTCCCATCCTTCGGGGTGCACTTGCGACACCATGTGACGTCCGACGATGGACCAAAGCACGGTGGATCTGGCTGGAACCAGGGCAGTCCTCCTGACAGGGGCCCTCCCTGGGCCCAGGGATCGGTGCACTTCTGCGTCCTCCGGGCCTGGCTGAGCCTGGCCGGTCTCTCTCTCTCTCCCCCCCTCGGGTCCTGGGACGGGCCCGGGCCGTGGCCCAGGGCGGGCAACGAGTCGGGACCCCTCGGCGGGCCACCTGCGCGCAGCCGCTGCCGGTCGGACGCACGCCGCCGGGCGAGCTCCAAGGAGGGCCGCGGCGGCTGCTCCGGGTCCGCGGGCGGCTGCCAACTCTCCTCCGCGTCGGTGGAGAACATCCTGGCGACCCGGAACGTGCCAGCGACGCTCCTGCGCCACCCTGACTTCGGATCCGCCGTCCTTTGACTGATTTTCCGACTTCAAAGAATGTGTGTCGGGAATGCGCCCCCCAAACGGTGCGAACAAGTAGGGCGGACACGACCGCCTCAGAAGAAAGTAGGGCGGCTGTTTCCGCAGAAGCGTGGCGGAGACAGCGACGGCAAAGCAGGGCGGATGCCGACATCAAAGGGGCCTGAACAGAGGGGCGGAAAACTCCGCCCTGGCCCAAAAGGAGGGCGGATCCTGACCCAGGGCAGGGGGAGCGGGAGAGGCGGCCCTGAGAGACTGCTCGAGGCGGCCGAGCAGCGTGGGAGCACCGCGGCCAGCGCGAGCGTCGGTCGATTTGCGGCAGCCCTTCGGCCTGGGCCCCCGGGAGGCGGACCGGGCCCGCCCTGGTCCGGCGGAGCGTGCAGAGCTCGTCGGGGTGCCCTCGCTCTGCGCCCGCCCGCTCGAAGAAACACGCGGGGGGGGGGGGGCCCGGCTCGGGAGCCCGGAGGCCGCGGGCGGCGCCCCGTGTCGCTGTGGTGGGCACGGCCTGGCGCGGGGCCGGGCGAGGGCGCCGGGAAGCGGCGGCACCCCTCGAGACATGGGCAGCGCGTGTGTCCCGGCCTGCTCCGTCGGTGTCCCGTGGTCGTGCCGCTGCCAGCCGCCCTCTTGCGAGGCACACGCGGAGGTGCCAGGGCGCGTCCACGAGTCGACGCCCGACGCAGGAGGGCGGAGATCGGCACCCGACAGCGAAGCCGCACTCGCAAGGGCAGGGCGGTGTGCCCACAGGTCCCGGTCGGCGATGAGCGATCGAGCAGTGCCCCTCTCAGGACATTGCCCCTCTCAGGACATTGCCCCTCTCAGGACATTGCCCCTCTCGGGCCGACGTGACTCCCCCTCTCGGGACATTGCCCCCTTTCCCACGCGTCAGCTGCACTGATTTTCGCCATGCGGGGTCCCTGGATCTCTCGACCCCCTGGATCGGATCTTGCCGTCCGGGATCGCTGTCTCACGGTCCCAGGGCCCTACGCCCTTGGATCGCCTCCAGGGCGCCAGGGAGTAGTGCTTGTGAGGGGGCGTGGCGCTGGCAAAAAACCTTGCGATCCCCGCGGGGACGCGCGGAATCGATACTTTGTGTGCTTCTGTGCTCCCCTGAACAACGGACACATTCTTTCTCGGGGGAGAAGACGACGAGGACCATGACCACGACTGAACGCAGAAACGTCGGTGTGGATCTTGGTCTTCGTCCGTTTTGCTTTTCGTCCATCTGGTCATCGTCAATTCGTGTATCATCCCCGCGAAACAGCGACGGCTGGCAAGGACCATGACCAACCAAGATCGGTGTCGACAAGATCACGCGACATCTTGGCCATGGACACAATTCGTTTTCCCTCGATTTCTTCTCGCTCCTGTTCCTTGAGATCTGAGGTTGTGGAATAAATGCGGCATCGCAAAATAACACGACCAGAGCCCAATGGACCTCAAGTGTCTGCAAATATGTTCGAGCCGGATCGATCTTCGATGCCCCCCAAGCACGAAACTGGGCGACATCGCTTGGTGTGGAAAAAGTTGCAACTCCCAATTAATTTCAATACGGAGTCTTCGGGACACTGGTTCTCGTCCCATATCGTTATTAGACGGTCCTGGGGCATGCGAAAAACGACGAAACACAAACCGTCTCAATGCGTTGGAGGCCTTCCCTGACTCCGGATCCGCCCTGCTTTAAGCGCCTTCGCAAATCCGCCGACCCTGTCAGCGTGTGTGAGGGGCTTCTCCGTTCGACTCGTCGTCTCCGTCGTCTCCGTTCTCCCCCTCCCAGGGCTCTCCTCCTCAAGCGCGCTATCCAAAGCGAAATTAAACGTCGTAGTGGAAGCGAAGGGAAGCCCCTTCCCTTTGATCCCTTCCCCGCAGAAGGGGGGGGGAGGGGGTGGGGGGGCCTGGGGCAGATACGACGCCCGCCGGGGCGCACTTTCCTCGAGCGGGCACGCACGGGATGCACTTCCTCCTCCTCCTGGTCCTCCTCCTCCTCCTCCTCCTCCTCCTCCTCCTCCTCCTCTCCTCCTTTTCCTCCTCCTTTTCCTCCTCCTCCTCCTCCTCCTCCTCCTCCTCCTCCTCCTCCCGCAAAGGCGTCCCTGGAGCGGGCCCCGAGTCAAAATACCCCCCCCCCTAGGGCGCATTTTCCTCGAGCGGGCACGCCCGAGATGCAGTTCTTCCTCTTCCGGGAGCACGTCCCAAATCAGAATATCACACTCCCGGGGCGCACTTTCTTCGAGCGGGCACACAAAGGATGCACCTCCTCCTCCTCCTCCTCCTCCTCCTCCTCCTCCTGCTCCTCCTCCTCCTCCTCCTCATCCTCCGCTTCCTCCCCCCACTCCTAGCCCTTTCGATCAGGGTCGGCGGCACCGGCCGTCAGGCCTCTCCAATAAGGCTGATATTTCCGCCCTCCGTTGCCTTCGCCGTTTCCCCCACACTTTGCGGAAATAGCCGCCCCGCGCTTCCGAGGCAGAAATTGCCGCCCTACTTTATCGCATCGTTCGGGGTGCATTGGCAACACAATTTTCAACAAGAGTACGGCGGATCTGGCTGTTAGCCATTCGTGAGCTCAACCTTGTTTTGGAACTCGAGGCAGGCTTTGCCTTCACTCTTCGCCTTCGTTGAAACATGCGTGCCTTCGGCCCGCCAGCACCGATCCCGGCCAGGCCCACCCAGGGCCCAGCATAGGTGTATGCGCCTTCTACGCTTGGCCCGCAGGATCCAAAATTTCCGAGAGTCCTCTCAGAATTGAGGCGCACACTTGCAGAATGGAAAAAATCCAAACCTCCAGGATGGATGGAAAAACACGTCCGGCATGAAGGCCGAAACTACAGTATCTTTTGTGCACGTCTTGATTCTGAGGATCCACGTCTTCCAAGAGCCTCTCAGAACTGGATGCCCCCGAGGGCAGCCGAACGAGTGAGACCGATCCTGCCGCTGGGCGACGCCGCGCTGGCGGCCGCGGGGCGCCACGCGGCGCCCCCAGCCGAGCGGCCCAGCGAGGCGGGCTGGGGCCCGGCGCCGTGCCGCTGCGGGAAGTCGTCCGCCCGGATGGTCTCCTCTCGGCGGTGGACCGAGAGGCCCCATTCAGCAGAGCGCCCTCCAGAGCGAAAGCTGCCAGGGGGCACTCCACGTGCGCACGGCACCGCATTCCGAGTGCACCCCAGCGGGATAGCTCATCGACGTCCAAGAAGAACCGGATTAATTTTTCGGAACGCGCGTCGATGAGCAAAACCGACTGGGGACTGCAGCCGTACACTCGAATGCCACTGTCGAGTGAAGCAATGCAGATTTCTTCAGTCGACTTGTCTGCGTGGACGTTCTTGCAATGCCCGATCCTTGGGGGGCCCTGACTCCAGATCCGCCGTGCGCTGATCAGGCGATCCACATTTTATCCATGTCCCTGCTCACGCACCGCCCCCACGAGGAACCATAGCGGAGACATGGATAGATTCATAGCTTCCGAGGCCACATATGTCTATCCATGCCCTGCTTCCGCTGGCGCCCAGAGTGGGGGGCAGCAGTAGGGGTATGGGTCGAGCGTGCATCGTCGGTTCATTTCCCAATGTGAATTTGTGTCGGACATGCACCCCAAACGATGCGAAAACGTAGGGCGGAAATCTCCGCCTCAGGAAAACGTAGGGCGGCTGTTTTCGCCAAAAAGGAATGGCGGAAGCAGCGACGGCCAGGTAGGGCGGACATTTACATCAAAGGAGCTTGGAAAGTAGGGCGGGCACTTCCCTACTTACGAAATCGCCCAACGTAGGATCTGGAGTCAACGGTGGTCTGCGTCCAGACCTCCTCGAAAACTCCAGACCTTCATGATTGAAAAATTATCCCGGCAAAGCAACCTAACATCGATGTGTAGGAGCATATCTGGAAGCATTCCCCTTAAGATTCGGATGAGAATCCAGTTGTAGAATTCTGCTGTTCTCGCAGTCGTAGTCGCATTCGCGATGACAGTCGCAGTGTCAACGGCAGTCACAGTCACAGCCTCAGCCTGCCTCAGCCTCAGCCTGCCTCAGCCTCAGCCTCA